ACTATCTATTCTAGAATTTTTCACCACCTCAGAAAATAAACCCTGCACACATCACTCCTCATTAGCTCTTCCTTCTAGAAATCTCCTAATTTACTTTCTTTCTCTATGGATTTGCCTATGCTTGACATTTAATACTAATGGAGTCAAATGATATGTGGTCTTTATGCCTGGTTTCTTCAGGTGGCATGATGTTCTCAGAATTCATCCATGCGCTAGTATGTGTTGGTGTCTCATTCCTTTTTATGACTAAATAATACTCCATTGTATAGATGTACCACATTTTATCCATCCAGTCACCAATTGATGGGTATTTGAGTTGTTTCCACTTTTTGAGCCTTATAAATAATGCTGCTTTAAACATTCATATACACAAGTTGTTTGAGCATGTGTTTTCAAAGTTTGTGGATATATACATAGGGATGAAATTTTTGAGTCATGTGTTAAATCTAACACATTTTAACATTTTGAGGAACTGCCAAGCTGTTTTCCAGAATGGCTGCACCATTTTACATTTCACCTTCATTGTATGAGGGTTGCAGTTCTCTACATTCTCACCAGACATGTTTTTGTCCATCTTTTTCACTGCAGCCATTTTGGTGGATGGAAAGTACCATCTCACTGTGGATTTGACTTACCTCTCTCTAATGACTAATCTTGAATATTTTTGTGTTATTTTTATAGTATACTGTTCTTTAAAAAATTTTTTTAAATGTATTACAATTAACATTTCTAAATTTAACCAAAAAGACCAAGTAGGCCTTGGGTTATAGAAATCTGGGAGCCAAAACAGAAAGATTTTGATTCTAACCAATTATCCACATTGCTTCTGACAGAACCAGAAAAGGCTCCGTTAGTGATGAGATGACTTGGGGTGGGGGGGTTTGAGGGAGAAAGTTCACTGTGTGGCTGACTTCCAGGGCCAATGGATATGCACAAAGAGTCTCCCAGTTTGCATTCTAATCTGTTACTAAACCATCTCTTTCCATCTGCCTCTTGCTGACATTGTTGCCAATTATTTCTGTCCCTTACTCATGTCACTGCACCCTCCTCCCAGTTGCTCCAACAGGGCTTTTGAGATTTGTGGCCTCATCTCTCAGCACCCTGGGGCCAGGGCAGTAAGAAGTGGATGCCACAAAGCCACCCTGTTTTTCAGAAATAGAAACAGAAACTTGAAGATTTCATATCATCATGAGCAACCTCCTGGTAACTCTAGACAAAAATGTCCTGTATTCCTCTCTCATGATCCAGATCTGTGTATTGCAGTGGCAGGTGGCAGTCCCTACCTGCTCTTACTAAGGCAGGGCCAATCTGGACACATCAAACTCCCACACCATCAGCATCACAGCTAACCTACAAATAGCATCCAAGTATGTCCGACCTGCTTTTGACTCTGAGGCTCTGGGTATGGCCAAGTCACAGCTCAAGGGACGTCATGCCAGGTGTGTGTGTGTCTCCTTTAAGCATGCTGGGAACAGATGCAAATGGCCCACTGTCTCCTGAGCATCATCCAGTTAACACTTCCCATGGGACCGGGCCAGATTGGGGTCCATAGAAGTGGAAGCCACATTGACCACACAATGACCATACAAGGGTACTGCTTAACCAGCCTCCTGCTGTTAATGTAGAGTATTCCAGATCACATACTAAAGCCAAATTACATAGAATTGATGTCATTTTGTTTCTCCAGACTTCAGTTCCTTGTGTATTTTACGGTGTCCTCCCCTCCAAGGGGCTTGGGTTAGATTTGTGCCTTCCTACAAGAATGATCTCTCACACACAATACTTGCCCGACTAGGGAGGGAACTCCCTTGTCTGGTTGTGACAGTTCTCTCCCTGCCATCTCTCCTGAACAAGCCATTCCTCTACATCCTGAGGGGGAGGCCCAGGAAAGGTAGGGATGGCTTCCAACAGGACACATCAACAATAGATGTAGCTACAGAAATAGATGAGCAGCAGTTAAGAACAGTGTGTGGATTCAATCCTCAGGGCCCAAAGGTCGAGCTTCTGCTCCGTCTGTCCATGCTGGATCCATTGTCTGTGTGTGATGGGGCTTCCTAGCCTGCAATGTGTGTGTGTGTGATGGGGGCATCCCATCCTGCAGTGTCCATGTGTGATGGGGGCATTCCAGCTAACAGTGTCTGTGTGCAGTGCAAGCCTCCCAGCCTACAGTGTCTGTGTGTGACTGTGGCGTCTCACCCTGCAGTTTCTTTGTGTGATGGGGGCTTCACAGTCTGTAGTGTCTGTGTGTGATGGGGGCATCTCAGCCTGCAGTGACTGTGTGCAATGTGGGCGTTCCAGCTTGCAGCATCTGTATGCATTGGGGTTCCCAGCTTGTGCTACACTGTACTTTGGCCTTTTGTTACCAGAGAGAACCAGTACTGTGCTAGAAATCAGTTTTGTTTATGTCTTTTAGATGGGCAGAGCAGGGCCTGGGTGCCGCACTCCAGGCCAGAAACAACTGCACTGGGCTAGCACTTCCCTGGGTGTGATTAAACACAGAAGCTGAGGGTCTGTGCTGCAGCAGAAGGCTTGACAACCACAGAGGCTTTTATATGACCACCAGGTGGGCTGGGACAGCAGAGTCTAGCCAGGGGCAGTACCAGGCCCTTCCATGGCTTTCCGTGCCAGGCTCCAGCCAGGAGTATGCAGTCCTTGTTTAGCAGGGGATTGGACAGCTGGAGTCTCCATGTCTTCCTGGGAGCAAGCCACTTCCCTAATTGTGAAGTGAATAGACAGTTGTGTCCCAACTCTGAGAGTAAAGGATGCATCAGTTACCAGACTCCCAGTGGCTTCTGGAGACCACTGAATGAGGTGTCTCCAGCACCACTGCTCTGTGCCACCAGCCTACCTGCCCTTTCTCAGGGAGCAGCTGGCTCTGCATTCAGCAGTTTCTGTCCTCTGGGTACCGCTCTTCCTTCTGTGTGGAAGTGATCCCTGAGCACATGGCCACCATGCTGGCTCTTTTGGCCCAGACAAATCCAGCCAGCACTGAGCTCTTGGTCCTAGCCTACCAGGTTCCAGGCAAGGGTTGACAACCTAGTCGACTTGTTCAAGGTGTCCTGCGTTGGAAAAAAGGCAGAGGCAGACCCAGGAGTGACCTAGTGACTCTAGGATAGGCTTCAAGGAGTGTCCCTCTTGTCTCATGAACTGTTCTCCCTCTTTCCCAGGAAAGAGCATGGAGCAGATTCTTTATGGGCAAGGCTTTGTGGGTGGTTTCTGTTCTGAGCCAGGGCTTGAGGGCTCTCCTCTGTTCTATAATGCTGGACATTTTCAGCTAGGAACATTTTTAGCAATCTGTGCAAATGAACCTTTGTCAAAGTCTAAACATGTATCAGATAATTACATTATGATGAATATATATGGTACTAGATTTATTAATATAGGCTAGTGCTTCTGTAATAAGTGAAGAGAGACCAGGACACAAATATATATGCTGTGACCACAGCTATGCTGCAAAACCAGAGAGGATGGGAAGGGAAAACAATAAAATGATAACACTGGTTATCTTAAGGGAATGGAAGGCAGGTGATTTCTTGTCTTTCCTCTTTTCCTTATTTTTTGCAATGAACATATACTAATTTTTATAATTTAAAAATATTTAAAATTTTAAGTCTTAATTCAAGAAAAGTATATCAGGAAATGTGGGCAGAGAAAGTCTTCAGACAGGCTTGGCAGCTCCTGAGGACCAGACACAGTAAAAGCAATTGTTCTCCAGTTCCCATGCTGAGATGCTCCTGGCCAGGAGGTACCTTCTGTGCTGTGCCCTCTCCTGGGCCTTTCTCCTGCACAGCTGCCTTACTCACTATCTTGTGAGTAGGATTTTTCAGAGCAGGGACAGTACTCCCCAAGCATCCAGGGATGGTGGCAGTGGTCAAAGCGGTGCTCTGTGGGAACACATAGGGACCCACTTGGCACCTGTTCCCCCCACCCATCACTGCATGTCTGGAGCAAAGACGCAGTAGCCACTGGGGCTGTGATAAATCCCTGGCCTGCTCTGATCTGCACTGGGGAGAACTCTGAGCCCTGCTGGGGCCCATCCCCTCTCCCCACTTTCGCTTTGCTAGGCCAAGCTACATACTAGTAAGAGCTACTGTTTCTGGGAGGAGGGACTCCTGCTCCTGCTATCACTGGCCAGTGACAGGGCATGCACTGGCATGGCTGCAGGTTGAAAGGAGCAAGGCAACAACAGAGCTGAACCAAGGCACCACCCTCATTCTGGCTCACTAGAAAAACAAGAGGAGTGAGAAAAATAATCACCCTAGGAAATGCCTTCCTTAAAAATGTTGGCCTTTTCCCCACATGTGATTGGTCTGTGGATGTGTTGTCATTTTTTAAGTAGAAAGTACACCAAGCATTAACTGTTTATTATCCTAGTAAGATGTGGGTGCAGCTCTACCTATAGGGGACAGATGTAGGAGGCCAGAGGCCCCTCAGGATTGTCATTTATGTTTTCAGTTATTTTCCATTTTGAATCTTCATAATGGGGCTACTTTCCTGCCCCCTAAAATCCTGTTTCCCAGCAGGCTGCATGTGGACCATTAAGTGCAGTGGTTACCTCCCGCTTCTTGTGTGAGCATGCATCACTAACAGTCACCTCCACTGATTAATTCAGTGGACACAAGACAGATCAACCATCTGTCCTCTGACACCATCAGCAGGAGCTCTGAGAGAGATTGTCATCTCCACACCTCTCACAGCCCCTCCTTGGGGACATGGGACAGGGCTGTGTACTGTTTGAGTCAGCAAGGGGGTCAGGGGATGCACCTGGCTTACACAAGGCCTCTCATCTGCACCCAGGGAGTCCTTCCACCTCAGGAAGGAATGGCTTTGCTTCCCTCCACCCAGAGGGGTGGCACCAGTGGGCAGCCTGGTGCCCTTTCCCAGCTGCCAGGCCCACTCAGCTGGGCATTAATTGACTCCACTGCTTCCTGCTCCTCTCCCCATAAGTATGACTGGAAGAAGAGCTGACTCCTCACTGCTTCCTTTTTTCCTCCCCCTAGGTGTTTGAGCAGCTGTGGAAGGGGGAGGGGAAAACCGCAGCACAGATTGTTTCTGAACAGCGGCTGGAACTGATGCAGGATCAAGAGGCCCTGGAACGGCTCTGCCAGTCCACCATGGAGGGACATCCCCAAGTGGTGACTATCATGGGCAGGGAGAGGGAACTAGTCTTGAGGACAACGCCAGACACCTGTCCTCTGTTCCTGCTGCAGCCGGAAGCTCTTCCTCAGAAGGGCTGGTGTGAGCTTATAACTCCAATCATTTGTGTCAGCTCTTTCGTTAAGATCAAAAAGATGAAATTAGATGAATATGGGAGAGACACAACTTTCTCCTTATGAGAAAATGTCCACACTGGCATTTGCTCTCCGTGGAGTTGTAGTTATATTACCACGCTCAGCAAGCCCAAGTTTTGACCTCCCGGGCCTGTTGCCCTGTCCTGGGGTTGGCATTTCCAATCTGTGAGCTAGTACTACTTTATAAGGAGGACCTGCTGAGAAGGGGGAATGATAGGAAAATGCTTTAGCTTCATGCCTTTGAGAGGTGAGAAGGCAGAGGAAAATTATTTGTAAGTTATGGAAAAAAATCCTTTGATGGGAACACGGCTGAAAACCAAGTCAATTTTGTGTTCTTAGCATAGCAAAAGATAGACAAGCTATGAGGGCACCATTCCTTCACAAATCTAATTATACTGTTTAGAGAGACTTTTCAGTGGGGAAAAAATTGCTAGTATTTATTTCAGAATTGTGGCCACCTACCCATCAGCAAGCCGGGACACTAGCAGCTCATAAAGAGCCCTTGATAAGGAAAATGAGCCTGCACAGGTCCTGCAGTCTCCATCTTCCAGCCTCATCTGCAGTGACTGATAAGGGTACACTTGGTTTTAGACTCGCCCTGTGGCACTTGAGCAGATGAGCACATGTCATCATTGCCAAGGCATGCCTAGCTGGGGGAGGGTGCAGGCTGCCCTGAGAGTCCTGGTTAGTTGATAGAAATTCAGCCCAGCCTATTCCACCCAGTGCAGCCACACCGCTTGCCTATACCCTCTGCCTTTCTGTAGTTGGCTTTTAAAAAGTGGCTCTTCTTGGCAAGGAGTGGCAGAGAGCCCGATGCCCTGCAGCACTAGAGAGTTAGACTCAGTGCTCCATGGGGGCGTCCCAAAGGAGAGTGCCTGGTTCCCGAGGGCCAGCTCTGCTGTGGGCAGTCACCATGATCCATCACTGCTCTTGTTCCCTTTCACCAGAAGATAGAGGAGCCAAAATCCCCTTGAACAGGAGTAGAGAAATCTCAGAAGCTAATCCCCCTTTTCCTTTCCTTATTTTATAGCTTATAATAAGGGGGGAAAGAAACTGAATTAAGTAAACCTTAATTGAGGATTTTTAGGTAAAGGCTCTTTATTTTCTCCTCTTAATTTCTCTTTGAAGGTAATGGACCTGAAGAAGGGAAACACCAGAGCTATCAATAAGCTGATCGGCTTGGTCCGGAAAGCAAGCTTAAACCGAGCAGATCCAACAGTGATAAAGGAAATACTGGAGAAGAAGCTGTCATTGTGAGCTGTTTAGGGTCCCTTGGCTGCCCAAAGGAGGACAGTGCAGCCATGACTGAGAATAGGAGCCCACAGGAGCAAACATCGTGTGTGGCACTGGGTGGTATCTCATCTCTAGCCATGCCACGCTTTCTGTCAGGTGATGGTTCATGCCTGTGCTCATCGTCTGAGACCCTGTGCCTTGGGAGGCAGCCTTCACAGAAGACCACAGCCATACCACCTGCTTCTTAGACATCAGAATGGCTCCACAGTGGCTGCAGCAGTGGTTAGGAAACAGCAGGTTCTACTGTAGAGTAATTCTAAATGGAATAAATTACGCATTTCAAGTCCTGTGACCATTGTAAGAAAACTTAATGATGTGCAGTTCCTTCAAAACTATCTGTGAGCACTCCCTGAAGGCTGGGCCTTGTTCCAGGTGCTCCAAGTTAACAGTGATCAAGGGAGACTGGAGTTTGGATGTAGTATATTTAGACCTCAAGTAGGTTAATGAAGATGAAAATGCAAGTGAATAAACTGGTACAGTACAGACACATTAGTTCGGGGAGGTTTGGAAAGGGTGGGTGTTAGTGTCAGTGTTAGTATTAGAAGCAAGCACAGATCCCACCGGCTCCTGACGACACAGGTTTGGCAATCAGTGAACTCAAAACACAACAGAAGTGTTCAAATAAATTTAATGAATAAAATACATACTGAAATATCACATAAAAATGAACTTACACTTCAAAGATTGTGTTGTTAATCCCCTACAAACCCCCCCAGGCCAAAAAGATCCAGAAAAAGATGGTAACATTAAATTGATTTGTTTTGCCTGAGAAGAGTAAGACTATAAACTAGCATATCAAAATCTTGACCTTTAACTGTAACTGAGGTGCATGGGTTCCCATGACAGTGACACTATTTCTGTCTGTTTTGCACATGCCTGGTACCTCAGACTCACAGCACTCCCTCTAAAGACCAGATTTGCAAAGGGTGTTTTTTAAAGTATTTGTCAAATTTGAATGAGCAAGGGAACAAAATCCTTGGAGGCCCTTATTTTACACTGAATTCTCTGGCCTACTGAGAACAGTGAGAACATTTCTGGGGGGACATTCCTCCGGCAGCAGCTGGGGGACAGGAGGAAAGTGGTGCCCCACCTCCACCACCAGACAAGCATGCAGTCTTCCCTCAGAGTGAGGAGGATAATGTCCATCTTGCCTGGCCAACAAAAGTGGAAATAATAGAGGGGAAACTGCTTGGGCAGTTTATTGTAGACATGCAGGAGGAGATGACTTTTAAAAAGTAACTTAAAATTAGTGGCTTGGAACTGTAAGAGGACATTACCTCACCCGGGGGCCATGTGCCCCACCCTTTGTCACAGCCCTGACAACTATGGGGTCTAAAATAAAGTGATTTCCACTAAACCTCTCCACAAGAGAGAAAGGGAGAGTCCCTTCTCACTCTGCAAGTCTCTGAATTAGAAATACACAAAGATGCTCTGAGATTCCAATAGGGTAGGATCTTATTTAGTGAGAAATAACCATTCAGTTTTATAGATTCAGTTTTTACCAAAATATCTGACTTCCTATCATCAAGCCTTCTAGGAAACACTGAAGGATCTGTCCAGAACATTTCACAAAAGTTGGGGTGCAGCCACATAGACCGTTGAACGAAGTTACTTTGTCAAAACAATATGTGCTGATTATTCCCTGAGGAAAATTCCACTGTTAAAACACTTGACCCTTGCAAAATTAATGTCCATCCAGCTTTGACAACTGCCTGTTCTCTTCGATGTCAACTTCTGAAATCCTGCAAACCAGGCTTTCTGTGTCAATACCACTGCTATGAGGGGAAAAAAATTGAACCACAGCTCTGATTGTAATCTGACTAGATATTTGAAAAATGTTTATGAAACCCCCTAAGAAATCCACAAAGTGTGGCTCTACTTATACACAGGCCTCAGTGAAATACAATTTCACATTCTTACTTGAGCATGAATGTAGTTTGGTTCTGTCTATACATTTAGGGGAGATAACATTAAGATGTAGGAGTTGGTGCCAGAGCTGGAGCCACGGCCATCTGTCAATGGAATCCACACACCAGTGGGCTGGGTGTGGGATGCCCAAGCCCAGGCTGGGAGGAGAATATGCTGGAAAACTGTCCCCAGGCCAGCCAGCACCAGCTCTCCCTGGTCAGACCTAAACCATTTGCTCTGCTGTTAGAGGGAGTCGATGGTGGGTCTGATGGGAAGGCAGGCATATGGGTCCCAGCACTTAGCCTGCTACCAGCAGAGGGAGCACTGGCAAGTGTTCATCTAACTTAGGAAACTTGTAAAAGGGGGGTGCCAACTTCTAGGATTTTTAAATTCCAGGTTGTTTGGGTCTAGAAAGCAGCTTTCTGCCTCTGTCCAGGCTCCTGAATGAAAGTGAACTTCTGTTTGTTTGTCTCTCAAGGTGCTGATGGAAAAAATGAACGTATTTTACCAAGGTGAGGAGGTTTTAGCTGAGTCTCCTCCCCACCCCACCCACTATTTTTAAAGTAATTCTGGAAGGCAGCCATGAAAGTTTTGAAAGTGCACACCTTCTGTCAGCTTCAAGTTGACTAATTCAGTGTGACAGCTTAAGGCAAGGCCCACAGTTTTATTTTTCAATTGAATTTAGCTGCATTGTTTCAAGGACTTTCACATAGTATGGACAGGGGAGGGGAGGGAAACACCACCAGATCTGTCTGAAAGGCCATGTTATTTTACCATTACCACAGGCAGCGTGGACATAGCTGCCCCGCTCCTTCAACAGTTCTAGGCACATGCATTTGTGGACTGCTTATCAATAGAGCTGACCCTGGATTGAGACTGAAGGCCCGGGAGTTAAACCTTCCCTATTGCCTCTTCAGTCAAATGGCTGAGTAAGAATCATTTAAGAAAGATTGGTCAGCACCAGATTGTCTGTGGGGCAAAAGGGGCCTGGGTATAAGTTGACCTTTTGTAGACTTGTCCCAGTAAAATGTCACTTGGCATACTAGGAAGCACAGACTTGTGCAGCCTCAGTTCCATGAAATTTATAATCTGCCCTAAAAGCTCCTACCACCTCTGTCAGGTTCTAAAGTGGCATAGTAAACCTGAACTCCCCCCGAAGATGCCTGAAACTCATACCAAATGCAGCAGACAGAAGCCTGTTGTCAGGCTTGTCACTTGTGTGGGCAACAGTGAATTAAACTTATCCACATATGAAAAATGAACAAAATTCACCACGGCCTGACAGGCTATGAAAGGCCAGTCCTAGCTAAGGCAAAAGTTTGTGAGCTCTGAGAGCAAGAGGCCAGAGAACTGAAGACTTCCCCCACCTGTTCTGGGCTGCCTTTTCCCTCAAGAGCCTCTTGCAACTCTTTTGCCAAGGCCCTATTTATCCAGTTAATAAGCTGCCAGAATAATCTGCCCTCCAAAACGAGTAACGACCTAATAAGTGCGAATGCAGAGAGGACTTACGGAGGCAAAATTATCTGCAAAGCCATTCTTGAAGTCCAAGAGTTTTTCTAAAGCCTTGGGTTTGTGAGGGTCATTCAGAAAGAAAAAGTCAACTCCATTCTCATAAAATGTTCCCCCATGGACGTGACAGGATGGAGTGTAAACAGGTATGATGTGTTTTAAGCTGTTTTCTGCTGGGGAATTAGTGCTAGGTGATTCAGAGACTGAGGGCTGAAGAGGAGTGGGCTAGGATATCTTCCTAATGGCTTAACGCTGACCAGGCCTAGGCTGCCAGAGGACTGCTGCTTCACCCAAAGCTAATACTGCAGAACTGGTGGCTGAGGTTCGCAGAAAACCATCCGTTAAACTGGCCAGGGCTGGTGACTTGAAGTGGGAGTCTGATAATAGCTGTCCTGCAATGAAGTGTTTCATAAAAATGGCAGGCATGACAGCCATTTCAGTAAACACAAGTCTGGCAATTACCATTAAATTGGGCTGCCCTTAGATGAGACTTGGAGCATATACAGAGATTTAACGTCAGCCCCCAGCTGGCACTGCTTCCCTACTGAAAGCAACCTGCACACATCCAGGATGGGCACCCCAGCCATAGTCTTGGACTTTTAACTAAACATTTAAAAGTTAAATGTTTAGTTAAACATTCAGAGCCATTGTGAAACTGTCTCTGTGTGGTTTAGCATCACTGTGAAAAACACTTCAACATGCTGAGGATGGAGTGGATTACTGTCTTATGTTGGGTGGGTGCGTTCAGTTCTTTACAGGCCCTCTGTAGTGTCCCTTCCTTGGCAGGTGGCTTTTATTTAGGTCAGGTAGGGTTGCTGATCTTCAATCCATGAAGACATCATGGGGCCGCCTCTACTTAGAGGTCTGTGCTGCCCATTCTGGATCCAGGGAAGGAAGCAGCCAATGATAAAGAAAACCTTATCTCTAATTAGTCATTCCAGCCTCTCCATTTCATGGCTGGAGACTGTTATCTACCCCCATGACACTGTTTTAGGCTGCACCTAAGCTGGAATTTCTTTGTTAAAAAGCTTAAGTTTATCTGGCCACTTTCAAAAACCAATTTTAAGTATCTCGGTTCTCTCATATGTTTTGAACCATAAAACTTAGTCTGGACTTCTAAATGAGACCCTGAATTATGAACTGAGGTTAATGTTGTGATGTTCTAGGAATCCTGGACACCCCCACCCTCCCTGGAACCATCAGGCTGGACCCAGTGACGCCAGCCCAGGGTACATAACCAAAGGGTTTATGTCCACTGTTGCTCTAGCAGACAGCACAGCCTGTCAGAAGGAAGAGGACTCATACTCTTGGACCACATTTTAAGCATGTCAAATCTCTTTAAAAAGTTCTTATTACAAATAAGAACTCATTACAAAAGTGGTATTTCTAAGGGCTTTGCTCATTCACTTTAGGTCTGGAATTTTCTACTTCATCACTGTGATGATTTTCCCATCAAAGAGGTGTCATCATCACCTGCCTGCCACCTGGTCTCTTCGTATCTAACTAGAACAAAACCCACTCCTCCAAAACCTTCAGAATTTGCTCTTCTGTCTACAGCTTAGGCCTCTGCCATTTTCTTTCGGCATGTTCCACACCATTCCCCAAATAACCCTTCCTGGTTATTTCACTCAACCACATGCGTTTTCTGAGACGCTGTACTTCCAGATGAACAGTTCCAGATCAGCCTTCTAACATACTTTCATAAAGCCCTGGCCACAGCTCTCTGGAGGAGGACTGCCAAGACAGAGAAACATGAACCACTTCCAGTTCCAAACAGGGAGTTAGGAAAGTTGCCTTATGTGACTTTGATTCCCATGTCCCACTGCAGGAAGTAAAAATTTTCCTGCCTCTCACCCCCAAACTCATCTGCCTCCTTTAAGATAAGTCTATTTCAATACCTACTGAAGAAAATAAGAAACACAAAGTCAATCTCTTTCCCAGTGGGCACCTTCCATAAAGAGGGTCCTGGTATTCTAAAATAAATGTGTGGGCTCAGTGGCTCAGTGATAGAGTGCTTGCCTAGCATGCACCAAGCCTGGGTTTGAGCCCAGCAACTGCCACATAGAAAAAGGAAAAGGAAAGGAAATACAGACCCAGGAATGAACACCACCTCCAAATAATGTTGATAGTATAAATCAAAAAGTTAAGGAATCCCATTTGCAGATGTGGCTTCAACATTTTGTCCAAAAATCAAAAATTAAGTCCAAATAATCAGATAGATATGTGTGCAAAATAAAGTTTGAAGATAATAAATGACAGTGCCAATTCCATCTTTAGCTGCTCCTCCTTCTCTACCTGAAGCCACCTTCTTTCCTAAGGGAGCCTTGTGGGCTGTGCAAGAGCTGGCCATTCTGCTGCACCCCAGCTGGGCAAACCAGTTTTCAAAGCAAATGTGAAGTCAGAAAGTGCCACGAACGGTGTCCAGGTTTCCTGCTTAGACTATGAACCACCACCAGGTTGGCTCTTAACAGCTCACCCAGCCCAGCCCAGCTCTGTGTCTTTGTCCATAGGTCAGTTCTCCAGCTTAGTACAAAGCTGCTTCAAGATCCCAGAAACACGATGGGCCACCTCTGCTCTGCAGTGCTGGGATGTGATCCTTTCACCCACTGCCCTCCTGCACCAGGGGCCTGACTATGACAAAACAGTGCTCCCTAGCCACAACCAAAGGACCTGGTGCTACCCCCAGAGGTCAGCAGAGATGCCCACAAAGGATGGCTGGAACCAGGCCTTCCAACCAATTTCCCTTCCAACAGCGAGACTCATCTTTGTTACTTTTTCCTAAACTGCAGAACTAGGCCCCAAAGAGCAGAGTGGAGTTTAAGACCCATAAAGATCAGTCGTTTACGATCTCAATTTTAGCACACAACCATGTGTCTCTGCTTGGTGGCGGTTCCCAGTGGCTATGGCTCCACAGACAATCATGCCCTTTGGAGCATGCCATCCTCGCAGCCAGAGGTGCAGTAGGGTCTCTGATGAGGCCGTGAGTCCCCACATCCCAGCTCCCAAGCAAGCTGCACAGTGCCCACTTCTCTATAAAGTGCAACATATTAGTAAAAGCAAACAATTCAAGATTTTCACAGGTTGCATAGCTTACCTTTATCTTTTGCCCCTACTCCAAACTCCCCCACCAAGCCCCACAGTGGAACAGCTTCACCAGTTAATGTCTGTTTACATAATCACTTAAAAAAATAACGATTTGCGTGAGCATATGCTACTGCACTTGGTTCATCTGATCAAACGCCTAAAAACCATAGTAACAGTTTGCACAGGTACACTGTTTTGTGCAAATCTTGCTGAAATAAGGCTATCTTCAGTGTTTCAATGGTGTTATAGTAATTAAAGAAAGCTCTTGAGCCACAAGAAGTAATTCCCTGCATTCCAGATTCTCTCCAACTACGTGTGGCTTCCCAGGCGGAGAGCTGGGAACGGGATTCTCCCATCCCTAAGGCAGCACGTGTTAAGAGAATGTGGGTCCTGGAGGTCAATCCGGAGGGACATGTGAAGTGTGCTTGTGTGGGAGGCAGGCGGGGCTCCACCATTAGGCTTCCCTCATCCAGGACGGCAGCCACACTCAGGACAGCATCTGTCAGAGGGGTCCTTGAGCCACCTTCTGCCCAAGGGCACGTCCAGAAACCACTGAGCCCCAGTATTTGCTTGGTGCAAATACTGACTCACGGGACAGAAGCACAGCTACCAAAATGTGAGGAGGAAAAACTAAGGGAGCAGCTCTGCCAAGGAGCTGTAGCTTCTGAGACCTACATTCTATAGACATCAGGAGGGACGCCCCGGCAGGAGAGGGGTGCCACACATCCCTCCCCCAAATCAAGTATTGTCAGGAAGTATCAAAGTAGAAAGTCTCTGGAAGCAGCTTTGCATTTGACATTCAGTCAAGACGCTATAACCTTAAAAAATAAGAATCTCTATTGAGATAATAATATAAACGCTAACAACAGGAGTCCTGGAAGTCGCCCAGGAGCTGGCAGCACAGGATGGAGTGTTCCTGGGCCAAGGCAGCTAGCTCCTTTAGGAACTCCGGGAAGAGGGCGGCAGCCAGCATGGCGTTCCTCACCGGCAGAGGCAGGTTTGGGGGCGCCCCTGACATCTTGGCTCTGTTGGTCAGGAAGGGCTGAAGCACTCTCGGAGGACCATCCAAAAGGTTCTTGCCACTTCCTGTCCTGGGTGCCTCTTGAATGGGATCTGAAACCACAAAGAAGACTGTCATGGGAACCCTGGTGAGCTCCCACCTCCCTCTTAAGTGACGTGTGTGTGTTGGGGGGCAGGTGGGGTCGGGGAAGGGGGTCTAGTCTTGGGTGCAGTTCCTCAACTGGCTAAATCCCGAAGAGCCCCTGAGCGCTCTGACACACTTGTCCAGCAGAGAGCGTCCGGCATGTAGCTCACGACGGGAAGCCTTTACCCAGCATCCTGTGCAAGGGACCTGGGGCGCAAGTTGTAGCAAGAATGCAGGCTTGTCAAGAAACCGCCCGGGAGGAGACGGAGGGAGGGAGGAAGGAAGTTCCATGTCCAGAATGGCGGGGAGAAGTACACCCTTCCTGCCACTGCATCAGCCAGGCAACAACGTGACTCACAGGGTGATTTCTAGGGACGCCACCTATTCACCCCCCACTTCAGTGCTGAGCTGACTGCCCCACCTTTGCCAGGGCTCCCGGGTCACCTGATGCAGCTCCAATACAGGAGTGCTGTACTAAGCAGCTTAGCTCTGGCCTCAAGGACTTACTGGTGTCCCTCGTCTCCTTCTGGCTGGCCCTCTAGCCTTGAATATTTATATTTTAAGAAGAGTGGACAGGGCGTTAGAATGCTGGAAAGACCAGACTAAGAACTTCCTGCAGCTGCTGGGATCTAGCTGGTGCAACAAAGGGCCCGGTCAGAAGCTGACATTTAAGGAGGGCTTCCAGGGGTTTCCTCTCAGTTTCAGTATCATAGGTCTAAGATGACAGGAACCAAGCTTAGAATATGTCAGACATACTCAAGTGATTTGCATTTTTATACCAAATCAGTTTTAGTAATTAAAATGGTTCAACTTCCCTGACTATTTAATTCCCGAACGGCTCCAGCTCTCATATACTTGCAGGAATTATTTATGCCTCCTCCTGCCCCCTACCCAAACAGTCTCATTTCTCCTTCTAAATCACTGATTCAAGCTCTTCATTACTTGGGCTGCTTCTTAGAATTCAGCCCCATTTTCAACACTCTTCTCAGAGTGCTGCTTAACTACGGCACTAAAAATTCCTGATATTTATAGTACTTTCCCCATCTCACTACTATCGTCTTTAGTGTTAAAAAATTCTCTGCTTTACTGCTTTAAATATCCTTTGGATTAAAGCTCACCAGAGTTCATGCCCTAAGAACTGGAAGAATGAGCTGCTGAGACTGCCTCCCGCTGCCTTCGGCAGAAGTCCTGCCATGCGCTGGCCACAGTGAGATGGTGTGGTGATGTCTGTCAAGTGCAGAACCAGCCTTGGAGGCCCCCACCTGACCCCCACCCTGACTCTCAGCACTGTAGCTCTCCAAAGGGCCAGCACAGCTGGCAGAGCAGCTGCCTGGACACCAGTGGGGACTGGGACACTTGTGAGCAACACTCCCAGACCTGAACCTGCAGGTGCATGCTGCCCGCCCTGGAATTCTCTTCCTCCACATCTCTGCTCACTTAAACCTTGCTTGCAGGCTTCAGAGGCACCGGTACTGTGACTAAGCACTAACCTATCCGCTGGGTTGTCTCAGGCGAGGGGCTTTACCTCTCTGTGCTTTCCTCTCCTGTCAGAAGCACTCAGTTACTTTAAGGATAAATGAGTCCAGGAGCATCAAGCACACAGGAACCATCACATCAGCATCAGCTCAGCTGCCGTGATGTCACAAAGCACTTCCAGCTCCTGCCCCAGAAGTCATTCTGTGTTACCATCCATTCAAGGCCTGTGTGCTTTTTCCCACACTGCTGCTTACATTCCATCGCTCTGCCTTATGTGGGCTTTCTGAAGCCCAGCCCCCATCCGCTAATGTCTTTCACAACCTCCAACAGGACTATGCTCAGAGACACTAGTGCCTACTTGCCAAACGAATGAGCGGAAATGACCAAGGCCAGCCCTTCCCCACTCCTGATCCTCCCCAGAGCTGGCTCACCTCCTCACCTCACCTTCGTTCAAATTCCCTCCTTCTCTTCTCCCTCAAATGGGTTTTTGGGGCTCATTTATCTATTCACATGTGAACAGAATTATCTTCACTAATGAAGGCAGGAGAGCAGCGAGGGAGGCTGAGGATGCGAGGGGAAATCTCTGATGTGTTCCACCAGCTGCCAGGGCAGGTCCACGTGGGCTTACTGCCAGGTACCACCTTTCGGTGCCACCGAGCTCTTGTGGTTCCCACCTGGAACCAGCTCTGTTTCCCTCTCTATAGAATGGGCTAATACCTATCTACCACCCTTCAAAGAATCAGAGATCAGTTGATGGACTCTGCAAGTAAGTAAACACAGGACACAACGGATACTCTGTGGTTTTTAAAGGATTTAAGTGGAAAGCAAGCCTGACAAGTGGCTGAACCTAGATACCAATAGTCCCAAGGATGGTGCTGCAGCAGCTGGCAACAGGAGGTCACCTGGCCTGGGCAGCAGTCTTTAACTACTGTTGGAAGCACGGGTGAGGAGGCTTATTTTTCACTGGGTGCCAGGACGCAAAGGGAAGGCAGGGCCTGCATGACAGAGCAGCTCTGGCTGCAGGTGCCTAAGTTACACCCCTCATAAAAGGGCACGACAAGCATGCCAGGGACCTGAAGGGAAGCATAAATGAGTGTCAGGGCTGGGAGTGGTTTGTAAAACATTGCCTTGAACCTGAAAAACTGCAACAGCAGGTACTCAAGACTGGTACTGGCAAGGGTTCAGAAGTGAGGTGGGAAATACGTCATATGTTGGTCACCTGGCAGCAGTGTCAGACACTGGAGACTTAAATATGGTGGTTCTAACTGTGAGATGCCCTGGGCCCAGGTGAGAACAGGACTCCCAGCCTTGCCCCACTACAGGCAGCACGCACAGGACATGCTGCAGAGGTCAGTTCTGTACATGGTGACAGAAGCCAGCCCACTGTGAGCTTAGGGATTTCTAATGGTGCTGGGGACGGTGCCGACTTGCTAACCTGAAAGCAGTCAGAAGGTTCATCTGAACCATTCAGTCTTACATCCCAGCAGAAGTTTCTACAAGTCAAAGTCCTCCTGAGCGTCACAGATCTTAAATGCATGCACCGCAGTGACTAATTTGATGACCTTATGTGGTGAGGAGCTCCCCCAGGCACGTACCCTACAACCACAGAAGGAAGCCAAGGTGTAAGTGATGTCTGCCCCACGAGGCCTACCCCAGACATGCTGTTAAAGTTAAGGAGTGTCTTGTCTCGTCTTGCCTTGTTGAGGTTGTAAGTGTGTGTGTGTGTGCTCATGTCTATGAGTAAGGCAGGATGGTCTCAGACACTTAGACTTCATGATCCTGGCTGACTGCCCTGGGCCTCCAATCCAGCTTCCATATATGGAAATGGGGCCGATGGCACCTTTCTTGCCCATTCCAAAGTACTGTGACAATAAAAATTGACTTCCTGGAATGCACCTTGCAAACTGTGAAACGCAAATGAAGACTGCGCCTGGACTGGGAGACAGTAGAGGACTGAGGCCCCTTGTCTGATGGGGTGCAGAGAGGGCCTCACCTGCAGCTCTTCTCATTGAGAGGTGGAGATTTTGTGCCACTTCTGACTCTGGGCTGACCTAGGGACTCGCTTTCACCCACAGAGAGAAGCAGACTTGACCTTCTGTGAGCTCTGTGCCTGAGCCTCCAGAGATGCTTCCATGCTCCTGCTCCTGGAGCCACAGGTAGCATGACCGTGACTAGCCTTCTGGGTGAGGAGACGCAAGCCCCATCACCCCAGCCAACAGCCACAGATGTGTGAGGCCTAGACATCCAGGCACTGATGGACGGCACGTTTGAGTAAGACCAGGCAAACTCAGCAGAGCTGCTGACCTGCGCCCAGGGCAGGAGTGCATGCAGACGGACACACATCCAGTCATAGACAGCTGTGTCTGAAGCCTGTGAGTTTTGGCAGCAGTTCGTTCTAGTCCTAATGAGTGGTTGGTTTGCACCTCTCAGAGTCCTAAAGCACACTGAACTTTTTGGTTCAAAAGCCTCTGAAAACATAATAAAGAGAACAGATACCATCCTCATGACACAAGTGGCCAAAGAATGGCTCAGGGAATACCCGCGATGCCTCTCTCTGGCCCGCAGGTGCTGTTACTTGCTGTAGCCTGACAACACCCCACACACCAGCTCCTCCCCTGTGCCACCTTCAGCTAGGAAAACCAATGCCCCGCCAGCCCGCCACAGAGGCACAGGGCAGGTGCGGGCCAGGCAGACCCCTCCTCAGACTTAAGAACGCTAAGAGGAGGCTCCTCTCTGCTGGGTAGAAACAAAAGTGTCTTTACGTGCATCTCAGGCCCCATGCCAACACAGCATGCAGGAGCCTGGAGGAGCAGGGCAATGGTGAGTGCTGGAGAACGCTGGCTGACCTTTGGTTAGTGTCGCAGGGGTCATATCGGACATGTCCAGCCGGAAAAGCAGGTACTGCTGGGCTTGGAGGAGGAGGCCGGGGAAGTCTCTCTCCACAGACGCAAACTGTTCGATCTTGTTTTTCACAGACGCAAGGACCTGCCAAAAACATTAATGACATTCATGTCCCCAAGGGATCCCAGCCGGTCATCAATGCATCTTTCGGGTTCGGCCTTCATTACGGGAAGCGTTACGGTATCAGTCGTTTGCTCATTTTTAACTGCCTGGGTGCTCCTTGTAGGGCACCCTCCAAATATCAAACTAAGTAGAGCCAATTTGTCTAGCATAATCTACAAATTAATTAGGACGGTGGAATTTCTGAAAAATGGCAAAGTCGTGAGAGGAAGGAGGAAAGGAGCCCTGAACATCAGCACCCAGGAGAAGAGCAGGTGTGACCATGGCCCGGCTGACGCACCTGATAGAGCGAGCGCACGCTGGGCTGGAAGACCATGTTGGTGTTGAGCAGGAAGGAGCGCAGGAGGGGCTGGGGGTAGCTGGCCAGCTGCGTGATGATGCCGATGAGCAGCAAGTTCACATGCAGCGAGTTCTCCAGCATGTTCTCCAGCTTCGACAGGACCACGCTGATGAATGGGCCTGCAGGAGAACATGGGGCTTCAGGGCTCACTGCGCCCATGGGGTGTGCAGCCACAGTCCCCAAACCACCATGGGCCAGGGGGTGAAACACAGACAGACACACATCCTCTTTCCCCACCTGCAGGACCTAACAGAAGACAAAGCAGCACCAAAAGAGAAGGAAGGAAAATACACCAGGGGACTCATATTTTGGCTCCAAGTGGCTTTTTAATACTTTGAAAATTATCAAGGACGCTGTAAAAACCAGATGATAAGTAATTTAATTTTTAAAAATTAAAATGTGCTTTTCTGCAATGTTTTTGTACTCCTGGCAGCTATCAGTGCTCAAAACATGACCTCTTGTGATGCTGTGGACTGTGTGCAGGCATAGAAACCACTAGTTTTGGTAACAAGAAATCATCACATTATAAGAAAATATTAACCATACTCAAGTAGTGACATGTGAACAAGGACTGTCTATCCTGAATATGCAGCCCAAGGAAGATTCTGCTCCCCACATGTCACAACGTACAAGAGCAGGAAAGAGAGCCAGACAAGGGGTGAGCGAGGCCTGCGGCTGTGACGTCAGTGGCCCTGGCAACTTGGTGACCACACTAACTTGGTGAGAAACACAGAAGGGACGTCCTCCGTCTTGGGAGATATAGTCTGTTGTACCACAGAGCTCACAAACAAAGAAAACCCCTATGACTTCAAGCATTCATAAATAAAAACAGGCAGAGGAGTTTCAGCTGCTGTGGGTCACCAGAAATTCACATGCTTTATGCCTGAGTTCAATGAAGGCAGGGCAAACAAAAAGTATGTAAATCTGGCATTAATAAAATTACTTGAAGATGTTTTAAAAGCTCACTATAAAAACGCTCCGTTAAGCAAGATCAATGAGGACTTTGTATTTCCCCCTGTGGAGCCCTTGCTGATGCGGCATGTTTATAACAAGAGCACAAAAACCTTGGTGAGTAAACATGCCTCGTGAATACTCCCCACCGTTGATGAGAGTTTAACAAAAACACACTTCATCTCAAGATGCCACATTCAGAAGCCTCAAGTGTCTGAGTAAAGCCCTCTCAAGGAGACAAGGTCCTGTGAGAAACGGAAACAGTAAACCTAAGCCTCGTACCCACATGTGGTACTGGGGCAACTGTGACACCGCTATCTCCAGGAACTCTGAGAATGTCACTAAGAGGTCTGTGGAAACAGGAAGTGCCACTCCTCACATACTGTGTCAAGCCTGGCCTCTAATTCCCCATCCCTGGGATGGGAGGCGTTTTCCATGGCCAGGAGTGGGAGGTGGGATAAAACGTCGCTTAAGGAACTCTTGGAGGAGCGCCCAACAAAATGGGGAGGGTCTACCAGACACAGTCACCTGGAACCTCAGCTTGAAAGTAACCAATGGCTTTCGCATGGAGAGCCCCAGAAATGTCACTGTGGTCTTCTTAGGTATCACGCAGCACAATTCTGACTTTCTGGGGGATGTATAAAGAAAAAAATGCCATCCTCACCCTTCTTCATTCAGGACCAGCTTCTCACCCACTCCCCTGCAGTCCCTGGCTTGGTTTCCTTCCATGTGGAAAAAAAACAGGGTAATGAGGGCACACTTGGCATGTCTTCTGTGAAACACGTCCCTAATGTCATTGCTTTACTTCCCTTCCCTGGTCGCAGACTATTCTGTCCTCATCTGGCATTTACAGGTGTGAAAACTCTGACTGTCAATGACCAGGGGAGACTATCTATAGTTCATCGCTACTACCAGGGGGGAAGACAGCTTGACTCCCATGCAGGTAGTGCCACAATAATCCACCTATGAAGTTAACTGCAACTTCTGAGGTGAGCAATGAAAATATACATACATGGAGTCTTTACTCCCATTTTCTGCATGGAAAGCAGGAAAGGTTTCTCCCTTTTTTTCCACTTCTCCCCATTTTATCCAGTTATACTAAATTCCTTTCCTGAAAACTCTACTATTATTTTTACTACAATATATATACATATACATATAGATGTATATATGTGTATACACACACATTAAACACTTTCAAGCTCCTGTTTTATTCTTAGCTGGTTTCTAGCACATTAAAAAAAACTGCATAGCAAAAAGCAGTTGCTAAGGAACTGGTGAGCTGCTGAAAATCAGACGACTGGGCTATAACTCAGAGAGCCACAGGTGTGTGTGGTGGAAGGCAGGGGAATTCTTTTTAACTCTTTCCTAGGAGGACAGATAAACCCCCACTTGCCATAGTTTGGATCTTGGATGTGCCACCAAAGGCCCATGTGTTAAGGCTTGCCCAATAGGAAGTGGGGCCTAGTGGAAGGAATTTAGGTCATTGAAGAGAGTATTGGGACCTTGGCTCCTCTTCTTTCTTTTTTTTGCTTCCTGGCCACCATGAGGTGACCAGCTTCCTCAACCATGTGTGCCCTGTCATGATGTGCTGCCTTATCATAGGCCCACAGGCAATGGGCCCAAGTGACCATGGATGGAGACTTCTGAAACAATGCACCAAAACACACCTTTCCTTTGTACAAACTGATTATCCCAGCTATTTGACAGTAATAGAAACCTAACAGACCACCCATAAAATGCTTGCATTTTCAGAATGACAACGAGCATCTCCACCCCCACTCCCTATCATTCACTTCTCTCTCCAGTGCCTCCATCCTCTGCCTTGACCAATGCTGCAGCCTCTCCCTGCATTCCTCAACTCCAAGAACAGAGCCGCCATCAGTTCTATGACCCAGTGAATTCTGCCTTGGAAATACCTCCTGAGTATGGTCTTCACCTCTACCTCTCCTGCAGCTCTGCCTAAGGTCAGTGTCTCGTCATTCCTGCTCTGGAGTGTGTGTGTGTATGTGTGTGTATGTGTATGTATTTTAAAACAGTATAAAGTGAAAACTAGGCCACCCCCCTAGAGGAAATTCCTGTTAACGGGTTCTAGTGTATTCTTCCAGAAATGTTTTATGTGTAAAATAATAATAGCTGATATTCTTCAAAACACTGATTAAGCATATCCTATGTGCCAGCCCATATTCCAACCACTTTTCACGTACTAATGCACTTAATACTCACAACCACCCTAAGAAGTATTTTATTATCTATCTCATTGAAAGATAAGGCAGAATGCTAAATGCTCACAGCTGGTAAATAATGGTGGCAGAAGTTCAATTGAGACCCTCTGTTTGCAGCGCTCTTAGCCAGTACATTATCTTGCCTCCCAGGTGTATACTGTGTGTGTGTGGTGTGTGTTCACACGTGCACATGCACTCACATGTGTTTCTGCAGCCTGCTTTTCCAGTCTATCCTGGAGACTGCCCGACACCAACACCTACAGCTGTCCCAACCATCTCAGGACCAGAAAGTACTTGATTGTGAAGAGTACTGCATAAGCGAGCCAGGGCCCAACTGCTGGGCATCTGAATTGTTTCCAGTCTCTCTCTATTATAAACACTGCTGCAGTGAACATCCATGGATTTACATCTTGGCACAGCTTTAAAAATGGTCCTAGAAACAGAACTGTCAGGTCAAAGCAATGGTGCACCCTGAATGAGTCTCTCATTTCCCACTCCAGTGCCCTATCTGCACCATCACCGTGGCTGACTTCTTCACACCCAGTCACATGGCTCCCCAATTTCAGTACTTCAAGGGAATCAGTGTCAGGGGCACAAGTCCACATTCTTCAGCTTGGCCCACATCTCCACCCCGCCCCACCCTGCCACACACACACAAGCTGAAATCAACCAGGCTTTGGCTTCCTGTCCCATGTGATCCATGGTGTCCTACTGGGCTCCTTTGTTCCCCTCCTTTTCTCTGCCCAGACTATAGTCCCCATCCTCTCTTTCCTTGGGGTTTCCACTCACTGTCAGTACCATTCTCTCTCTCTCCACAGGCTCCCTGCTCCCTTTGGACTGACTTGGCACACTGACTGATACTCTTTTCTCACTAAGAAACCATAGTCCTTTGCTGGAGTCTCCTCTGAAAGACAGTGAGTCCTTTTCACTTTGGGTCTTTAGCTCCTAAGCTCAGAACCTGCCAAACATTATGGGATCAGTTAAGAATTGCCGAAAGTATGAGTAAATAAAACAAGATGAATGGGATGCTCTCCTTTTGCTTGAAAGCAAATTCTTTTCAGCAGAACTCAGGATTCCTAGAGGGAGGTGAAGACTAATGTTTCAGAGCCATACTCGAAGTCTGGAAACTGCAGGGCTCACATGCATGTACAAGCTGCGAAGACGGAAGGAGGGAAAAGGCAAGGTTTTGTTCTAATTACCTATATGCACAGAACTTTCATTAGGTTTCATCAGTTCTCAGGAGGGTCATGTGTGCAGTGCTGATGTTACATGATAAGGGGTGTCTTAACCCACCCGACCCTCACCCCAAGCTATACTTTCTTTCCTCAATTCACACACTTCCAAGGGGTTAAGCTCCGTCAGAAAGTTGGCATTCTAGAGACTACCCTTCACTACTCCACAGGAATCCTCCTGTCCCCAAAAGCCTGCAGGACAAGGACACTTCCTGCCAGGAGAGAGTGGGCAAGCTGGGAGGCGTGACACTTACTTCAGCCCCCTTTCTTCTCTTCTTCAACTCTCCTGGCTCAGTCCCCTCTCCTGCTCAGCCAGGAAACATGAGATGATCTAATCCGTTTTACTTATGATTGACTGACTGATTGAATTTTAATTAAAACTTGTTCACCCTGAAATTTTATCTTAGCTAGAACCTCAAGCCTTATAATTGTGGAATTAAAAAGCTTTCTCCCAGTTTAAATAAATCTTCAGGCATCAGTAAATAGATGAATAAACATTGGGGAGGGGAGTGGAAGAGCCCCTTAAAACTGCACTAAGCCTACATTGCTGGACCAGAAGGCAGTCTGCTTTCCTCTGTCTTGAGGGATCCCAGGAGGTGGGGACCCAGTGCCTCCTCACCAAACTGCTCTCCACTATCAGAGAAGATCAGGCCTCAATTGAGGCTGCGGGGCTGTAGTACCAATGCCTTCCCAGAATCTCAGTCTGACCTC